GTCAAGCGAGTTTAGGAGAAAAGATCCTGCTACCAGCTATTTGATAATTCTGAATGGATCAAAATTTTCCCCTTTGTCCACTGACCCTTTCAATAGCTCTTCAGGTTCTGTTATTAGGATTCTCATTCCCTGTCCTGGGAAATGACTACAGAGAATTTCAAGAAGTATGGCCCAAATGATGAGGAAGCTTTCTATATTGACAATGTGGCATTCATTCAGAATGCCATCAACAGATATTTACTGTCAACTATGTGAAAGATATTCTAGAATTTGGAATGCAGCCATGAATACAACCAGGTCCCTCTTCTTATGGAACTTGCTAAGATTCCGACAAGAACAGATTAACATGGAACTTCCTACTGAGGCACTGTGGGTGATTTAACAAACTATTGAAAAGCTCCAGTGGCAACAAACTAATAACTGTAGGACAAAATGTGGTCTTTGCTGATGTTCTTAGGAAATTCACTGGCCTAGTGTACAAATGATACCATTCAAATATTTTAATTTTTGGTTCTTGAGAAGGTTTCAAAACAGTGCTGTCCAATGGAAATACGTGAGCCACATAAAGTAAGTTAAAATTTTCTAGTATCTGGGTTAAAAAAGTAAAAAGAAACATACAAAATTAATTTTAGTATATTTTGTTTAACCAATTATATTAAAAATATTAGAATTTCAACACGCAATTATTATAAATTATTGCGCTTTCTCACTTTCCTATTTTTGTACTAACTCTTCAAAATTGGTGTATGTATTCTTACAGCACTTTTAATTTTGGACTGGCCACATTTCAAGTGCCCAACAGCCACGTGTTGCGGTAAGGAACAAAGAAGGTTCAGAAAACTGCCCACAGAGTCTTCCATCCTCTTATTTTGGGGATGGAGAAGATACTTGCTTAATTAAAACATTCTGTGATCTCTAGTTCCAGGATTTTAGTAAGAAAAATATATATATATATATTAGAGGAAGCTGAAGACCACCATAGCCCTCCTTGGCCTCGGCCCTCCATAGTGCACAACAGAGAAAGGCCGCTAAAACGTGCTAGGTCGTCGTTGGATCTGTCCACGGAGGCAAGGAATGTCATCAAGAACCACGGTTCCCCACTAATGACGAACCGCCTCGGCCAACGTCTCAAGTTAAAGCCGGCAAAGGAAGGACGCTCAGAAATGAACGTCCGAAACCCATACCCTTAAATC